AGGAAGGAAGGAAGGAAGGAAGGAAGGAAGGAAGGAAGGAAGGAAGGAAGGAAGGGAGGAAGGAAGGAAGGAAGGAAGAAAGGAAGAAAGGAAGAAAGGAACAAAGAAACAAAGAAAAGCAGACAGACAGACTAACAGGTTCACCTCTGGGAAGAAGGCCAGTATCTTGGAATCAAAATGGCTTTCAGGGCCTTTGTGAGAGTTTCTTGAATCACATTTTATTTTCACTTTAAAATTCCATCCTCTTCTATTTATATATTACATTGAAATAGAAGACAGAAGTCAACTAGATCTTCAGTTCATATTGTAGTTTTGATAAAGGATCTTTAAATCAAATAAGGAATATAATTAATTAGATTTAATGTGCTTATTTCAGACTCTATAAAATGGACTAACTCGGTGCCTAAGTTTTATGGATAGGCGCTAGGTACAATTTGGATAAAACTCTAGCTGTGTGTAATCCAAAGCTACGGAGCACCTGCCAAATGTAGGTATTAAGGAAGTGCTCATTTAAGTAGTGGGGTATCATTTTCTTTCTTAAACTTAATGTGAAGTATTGGGGTAACTTCACATCGTGGAGAGATGTGCCTTTGTATTTTCAATTGTTAATTCTGTATCAGCAGAGAAGTAAATGCTGGCAGGATTTTGGTATTGTAACTCCTATGGCTCATCATTGGGTTTTTTTTTTTTATTTTTGTAAATATTCATCCTTCCTCTACTGCCTAAGGCAATCTAGAATTATTTCAAAGATTGTCTTGCTGCTGATTGGCTACAGTAAAGAGCTGACAGTCAATAGCTGGACAGGAAGCAGAGGGTAGGACTTCTGGGCAGACAGACATGGACCACAGAGGAACAGAGAAAGGCATAAAGCTAGCTAGCCATGTAACAGTAGGCAAAGATAGTCATAGTCAGGTTACATTAAATAAGGTAGCTGGAGACTGTCCCAGCTGAAGGCCCAAGCTTTAAACTAGAGGAAGAAAGAAAGAAAGAAGGAAAGAACAAAAAACTGTTATAGTTCATGTATTTTAGTTCTTTTCCTAAGACTAGTTTATTGCACGTTCAAGTGTTAGTTTATTTACAGATACATCCTTTTCCTGAGGAAAGCCATAAAAATCTATATTTCTTTTGGGTGACCAAGGAAATAGACTAACAGAATCTCACCCATTCAGTGATTTCATTCAGAAGTGTCATCTGTAACAAAGCCCCATTGAGAAATGAATAAATAACTTATTCATTAACTTATGTGTGGTTCTCAAATTAGTATTGCTTTAGAGTTAAGTAGAAGCAAGTAAAAGTAGAAGATTACTTAGGCAATAAATCCACAAAAGGAATAGCATCCAAAATCAAGCATCGGATATGTAAAATGTAACTCAGTTCTATTGTAATATTTATAGGACAAACATGTCTTGTCCAGTAATACATGTACATTTGCCAAATGTCCGGAAGAGATTGTGAAAGTCCCTAATTGCCTCAAAGGTTTTCAAAGTGTCATCCTATCAGCTTAGTAGTTAATCCACTTAAATTTACATCTACCCACATAAAGTTCCTAGCATTACTCTTAAACGTGAATATAGGAGTTTAATTTTTATAACTCTGTCTAATAGTTGGAATACAGAGGTGACTCTCCATTTTCAAAACACTTAGAAATAATCTCATCCGATTACTAGACAACATAGAGGCTTTTCTGATGTCCACCTGTCTTACAAGGACAAGTGGGTTTTGACAGATAAACTATGTTCAGAAGTGAAATATAAAGTATACCAGGGAATCCACTCTAATGATTGTTATACATAGCACAAAGGAGCTTCCAGTTAAAATCCTAATAAGACAGATACCATATTTATAATTCAGGTCCTTGTAAAACTGATGGATTACTGAGAGCTCATTCAAATTCAGTGATATTGAGACAATGCTTCTCTTATTAAACATAGACGTTACATTCTACCAATATTTCATTAATATTTTTTTCTGCCTCTCCTTTGTTAAGGTCCACCATGAGTGAAAACTGGGACTCAAACTCTTCAGAAAGCTGGAATCGCATCTGGGGTGGCAATGACACACAGCATCACTGGTACTCAGACATCAACGTCACATATGTGAACTACTATCTCCACCAGCCCCAAGTGGCAGCTGTCTTCATTAGCTCCTACTTCCTCATCTTTTTCCTGTGCATGGTGGGAAATACTGTCGTTTGCTTCATTGTCATAAGGAATAGACACATGCACACAGTCACAAATTTCTTCATCTTAAATCTTGCAATAAGTGATTTACTGGTTGGAATATTCTGTATGCCTATCACATTGCTGGACAACATCATAGCAGGTATGTTGACTTGTATGCTGTATAAAGATGATCTGAGAAAAGTTTCCACACATATCCAGAGTCAGAGCAGAGTCATACATTCATTGACACATACTTACTGAGTTCCTGGAAGTGTTCCAAGTATCTGTCTTTGTAAGATGAACATTTCTAAACAAAACATGTAATAAACAAATAGATGTATAGGTTTGAGAATAAGAACTTCTCTCTGACATGTCTGGTCCCAGGTTATCACTTCTCTGGTACCACTTTACATTTCTAGAGGTGCAGGGCAGTGTATTTCCTAATCCCAGTAAGGTCTTCATTCAGAGTGCTGATTTAGTACTGTCGTATTAATTGAGAATCGACATTTGATATATTCACATTCCTATCTATGTATGAAAATTATTAAATCATCTCAGCATATCAGAGTTATCCAAAGTAGGACAAGCTATATCGAAGCGCATATCTGCTCATGGCCCTCAGTTTTCTGTCATATTTATTTTAAATTAAATGATTACTTTACTATTTTGCATATAAATCATCTCTCTGTGTCCTTGATTTTGCTTCCCAGTGGTTAGCCACTTGAGTAATCTCCTGTCTTTATTTTTGGTAATATATCTAAGTAACATGCAACTAATGTAATTTTATGTTTCTCAGCTGCATAAGACAGAAATTTGAATTTGGTAATCCACTTACACCACACAAACAAGCATGGATTCACATGCTTCACCACCTCTGTTGGCCCGGGCTAGGACTAGCTTGGTGATTGTTAGCTCTCCCCACTAATGATCTCTCAGGGCTTTCCACGTCTCTTTGTCTTTGGTCCTCTGTTTTCTGGATGCACAGTTTTGTTCTACTTTATTCCTTCCTAAGAAATAGTACATTGTGATGAAACACTTCTGAGAACTTACACATCCATAAATGTCTTTCCTTCACTTTCACACTTGATTATAGTTAGCTACGTGAACAATTCTGGGCTGGACATTTTTCTTCTCAGAATTTTAAAGGAATTGCTCTCTTATTACTTCTTGGAAATGTTTGAGTTACTGTTGAAAAATTTGACTCTTGCTGTCTTTCATTTAAGTTGTATATTTTTCGCCCTGAAAGCTTTTTGAGTTTTCTTTATCCCCCAGTGTTCTGAATTTTACAAAATTAGGGTCGGAAGTTGCTTTTGTATAGTTTATTTATTGCATTGGATACAAACTATTCCTTTCAATCTGAAATCAAATGTACTTCATCCTGGAGAATTTTCTCGGCAAAGTCTTTTCCCTTCTTTGGATGTGTTCTTCACAAGGAAGAGGTCAGGGGGCTCCTTTCCATTATTTCTCATTCAATGTATACCTCTTGTTTTTCAAAGATGTGTGTGTATATAGTGTGTGTTGGGGGTGGGGTATACACCTATAAAATCAACATATTAGCAATCCAGTCAGGGGGACTACAAGTTAAATTAGTTCAATGTGGTCTACATGAAGCCACTGTACCCCAAATCCAAGGATTTGAGAATAGACAGGTTGCTTAATGGTTAAGAGCAGTTGCAGAAGACCTAGTTTTAGTTCCCAGCATCCATTGTTGGTTGGCTTAAAACTGCCTATGAATCTAGCTTCCAGGAGATCAGATGCCTCTTGTAGCGTCTGTGAGCACCTGGATTCACCAGTATGTACTTATACATAGACACGCTCATATTCTTGATTTTAAAATTATAATAAGCCTTTATTTTAATCCAAAAGCTAAGTATGTAGCTCAGCTCAGTGTCAGCATGCTTGCCTACCCTGTGTAGAGCCCTCGAGTTAATCCGGAACACTGTGGAAAGAAAAGGTTTTCCCAACTTTCATCTGAGTTCTTCCCTTTTATTGTCTTAAATCACTTGGCCTTATTGTTTTTCCTGTATGTAACTCTACTATCATTTTATATTTTTGAGATTACTGGTAACATCTTTATTCTGTTTTTGTGTGAGTTTTCTATTACATAGTCCTTTCTTACATTCCCTTTAATTTATATTTGAGGTTTTCTTAGTATTAGGGACCATTTAATGAGGATCTCTACATGTTCAATAGACTCACCAAGGAATCTAACTTTATAATCTAGACTGCCTGCGAGGCTGAAGTAGGGAGATGTGAGTTTGAGGCCAACCTGAAGAAGATGGTGAGACCTTGTCTCTGAAAGCAGAGTAAAAAAAATCAGAAAAGGCAAATTCAAATAGGGCCACTGTTAAAATACACTCATTTGTAGTATTTGTGCTAATAGAGATTAGATATGAATAATTGTTTTTTTGAGAAACCACAGGTTATTTTTTTAAATAAAATAGACTTTTAAGATCTAAAACCCAATGTTTAAGAGAAGCTATTTTTTTAATATCAAATAAATATTTAGAAGGTCAGATTGCTCAGATAAGCTTTATTGATTTCTCTGAGAACTGCCCTAGTCACTGAGGTTTAGGTAAGTAACTGAAATATCTGACTGTCATTCATGCTGAGGAGTCTCCACTATTCTGATGTCACTATCATGTTAGTCATACACTGTGCACATTTGTATCACATTCAATCCCCAGCTCCCCACAATTTATCCACTGCATTTCCAAATTAGCAAATTAATATCCTGCTTATTTTAGTCATTTAAAGCAATGTTTCTCAACCTGTGGATTGTGACCCCTTACAGGGTCAAACAATTTTTTCATAGAGGTCACCTAAGACTATTGGAAATGACAGATATTTATAATTCACAACAGTAACAAAATTGCAGTTCTGAAGTAGCGATGGAAATAATTTTACGGTTGGATCAGCACAGCATAAGCAACTGTATTAAACGGTTGCAGCATTGGGAAGGTTGAAACCATTGGTTTAAATCCTCACAACATAAGGTTTGATGGTTTGCACTCTGGAAACTTACCTAGGTTTAAATATTTTTAAGCCGGCTAGAGCAAGGTGTATAGTTGTGGTTTTTACCTTGTGTAGAGATGCCACAACTTAGAGAACAGAGCGTTCAGAATCTTTTCCAGGGGATTAAATACAGTATCAGGAGCAAAGTACTTGTTTTAGTGCCCAGGATGTAAGCATTATAATGCATAAGTCTTGCATTGTAGATGCTGCACTGAGGAAGTATGTTCTGTGTGGAGAAATTACTGAAAGCACTGAGATAACTTACTCTACAGCTGCTTTCATTTCTTGCCTTTTGTTAATATTTGCTGTATAGTGAGGTAAAATAATCCTCAAAGTCTATTCTATTCCCCATCCAGGATGGCCGTTCGGAAGCAGCATGTGTAAGATCAGTGGCCTGGTGCAAGGGATATCAGTTGCGGCTTCCGTCTTCACCTTGGTTGCAATCGCCGTGGACAGGTAAGTCAGTTCCAAACTGTGAGACCAGAAAGAGGTAATGACTTAGTTCCTACATCCTGTCACCACTACTAAATGGTACTGAATATACTCATACAACTACACACCTGCTTGTATTACTACAATTAAGGGGTACAAACCCCAAAATTATTGCTTCACTGACTATTTATAACAAATTATGTAATTTGTATAATTACATGTATTTTTTTCAGTTCTTAAAATGTTAATATTTTCCATGCAGTTATAGCTTGGGAATATAAATCAAGTGGGTATTTAATTTTAGAATCACTGATACATTGTTTTTCCTCTTTGTAAAAAGTATATTAACAAGGCCAGTTGGACCTTCCATGTTTGTCATTATGAACTACATCACATTTTTGGTAAGAGATACATGATTTTTTTTACATGTGCTCAGTCAATAAATGCATCACATTTTTTCACAAAGCACATTTAAAACAAGGGTGTCCTACAAGTGAATGTCATAATATTAATTAGGGAATCTCTACAGTGAATGGAAGCTGTACTATCATTTGTATTTCTACTTCAATCTTAAGTTTAAAAAATTTACTTCCACTTACAGTTGGTACGTAAATGTCCTTAAATTCCTTGAGCAATATTTGTGACATAACACTGGAACTGACTCTAAAAACCGTGGCTCTCTATTTTTGAAGGTAAATGAGAAAATCAAGCAATTTATGATGTTTCTTAGTGGGTAATGTTAGATTAAAATGAATGAAGCCAGACTGCATAAGTCAATGATTCAATTTGTATACATTTCAAAGCCATATACTGCCTGAGAGATTGCACAAAGATACACATAGTATATGAAATCTAAAACATTCCAGACACAGATTAATGCTGGAAAAGCAGAAGTACATTACAGGAGGGGTAACTAGCAACTTCAGAATGTCTCTGCAAACAGGAAGATAAATGAATATGGAGAGCTGCCAAGAGGACTGCAGCCTTAATGTTTGCTGTGACACAGAATGCTCTAGAGAAGCGAAATAACACGTGTTTGGTCTGAAGAACGATGACCCTGAAGGACATTGTGTATTTTCTTCCACTTTTTTGTGCTTGAAAATTTAAGGAGGTAACTTGATAAATGAATGCAAAATTGTTTTATTCTTTTGCATAGCACAGTGCCTTGGTCTTCAGCAGGTTATTGGCTTTTTGATTGTATATTTTACATATATTTCCATGTAGTGTTTTGTCAACCTTAACCAAGCTAACAAGCTAGAGTCATCTGAGAGGAAGGAACTTCAACTGAAAGAAAAATGCCTCCATAAATTCCTCCTGTAGGCAAGTCTGTTTGAGGGGGTTCTTGATTAATAATTGATGTGTGTGTGTGTGTGTGTGTGTGGGTGTGGGTGTAGGTCATTGTGGGTGGTACTGTCTCTGAGTAGGTAGCCCTAGAATGATTAAGAAAAAAAGTTCTTGAAGCTAGTATGTAGCACTCTCTCATGGTCTCTGCTTCCAGGGTTCCTGTCCTGAGTTCCCTCAGTGATGGAGTGTGTCCTGAGAATTATAAGGTGAAATAAATCCTTCCCTCCCAGATTGATTTGGGTTGCAATCTTTTGTCTGCTGTGTTTTATTTTTTTACGATGGGGTATCAGTGGATAGCCTTGGCTGGACTGGAATTAACTATGTAGACCAGGCTAGTCTCAAACTCATAGAGATCTATCTGCCACTAAATTTTGAGTGCTGGGGTTAAAGGCATGCACCACCATGTCCTGTCTTGGTCATCATCTTTATCATGGCAATAGAAATTCTAAGACAACATATGTTTGAAGTTTTTTTTCAAAGTTATAACTTTAGTTTCATTCATTTCATTTCTAAGAATCTGGAGAAGGTACCAATATTACATAATAATATCAAATTATCACTCTTATTTTATTCATACATTTTAATCTTTGACAATTTCATACATGTATGTGATATATTTTGATGACTCTCTCTCTCACCACCTCTCTTATCTCTGCTCCCACCACTACCTGTGTCCCTTCCTTCTTTTCTAAAAATCTCTTTCCCATACTTAGGACATGCTATTTTATTTTGTGTTGCACAGAGTTTGGTGAGACAGTTTATGTGACCATGGCTTTGCAACTATCTTAGAGCCTTGTGGGGATCACCAGTGAGTACACAGTGGATGCCAACCCTCACCACTTCCAGAATGTGCTAGTAGAATATACTCAGCAGTAAGTCATGTGACCCCTTTTCCATCCACAGCTCTCTGCTGGATGGGCCAAACTTGTACAGACACAATACTACCAGATATAGCTGCTGTGAGCTCATGATTGCTGTGACCATATCATGCTTTGAAGATGGCCTTTCTCCATGTCTCCTGAGCCTTAAGGGGATAGAGCAAAGGTCTTCTTTTTTTTTTTTTTTTTTTTTTTTTATTGGATGATTTATTTACATTTCCTATGTTGTCCCCTTACCCCATCCCCCACCACCCCCTCGGAACCTCCAATCCCCTCGCCCCTCCTCCTTCTTCTCTGTGGATGTAACCTCTATCTACACCCCCCCCACTCCCACCTCCCCACCCTCAAAATTCCCACCCCCTGGGGCATCCAGCCTTCATGAGGTCAAGGTTCTCTTCTTCCACCTATGCCCAGCAGGGCCCTCCACTTTTACATATTCAGCTGAAGCCCTGGATCCCCCCCTAAGTGCTCCCAGGCTGGTGGTTTAGACCCTGGGAGCTGTGGTTGGTTGGTATTGTTGCTCTCCTCATGGTGCCACAAACCCTCTTCTTAAGTCTGAGTCTTCAACTATCAATTATTCTTAGCATCCAATGAAGCTATGACTATCTGCATTCATCAACATTCTTTGAAGAGGACCTTCTCTAAAGTTAAGTTTGAACATAGCCATTGTCAGTGGTTGTAAATAAAGGTACCCAAAAGGATGCTTGATGCTGTTTCACTTTAGCTAAGCAGCAGTAATAGGTTCCTCCCTTGGACCTGCAACCTCTTGAATCAGGGCTTTTGACTTGGTGTAGAATACCAGGCAAGGGTTCCATCTGTGGAGTGGACTCAGAGTCAGTTCCAGAGGGGAACTGGTTTCACCCCTAACAACTGTGTTACTATTTTGCCAATGAGCACATCTTGCCTGGCAAACTGGTTAATAATGTTCACAGCTGAGTAAGAAGTTTATGTCCTAACATCCTCTAGCACCCTGCAGAGCACCATCTGGCACTACATAAGCTAGCCCAAAGGGAGAAAGCTTCCCAGCTCAGTTCTAGCTTCATTGCTCTATATCTTGCATGTAAGGTATGTGGCATCTTCAGCAACAAAGTCTTACTGTGTCATTGTTTATTTACAATGTATCACAGAAGTTAACTTGGAATTTATTTTCAGCCGTTACTTCCTTTATCTGCATAGCTGTCTACCAAGTAATAAAATCTGCTTTAGAATCTCACAAAAACAAAATGTATATTTAATAGGTGATAGTTTCTAAAATGATAATGTTGCATAATAGCAAATACATATTACAATTCATTATAATCCACATCCAAAAATAATAAGAATCACAGTAATAAAAGCAGTAAAAATTCCTTAACAGATTTTGAATCACCATGCTCAACAAGGAATAGAGAAGGAGTCTTCATCAGATTTTATAATGGTTCTTCTCAGATCCATATAATTGTGAAATATCCAAAACCGCCTCTTGATGTAAGGCGTTAATAATTTATTACTCTTGTGATTCTGTGGGCTGAGTGAGCACTTCTCTCAGTCTCCTGCGCCATAGATCACTCACACGGCAGCGTTACTCTGAATTAAATTGAGACTGATGTATCTAATGTTCCCCAGGGCCTTTCCCCATGTGCTTCTCATCCAATTTAAGTTTCTTGGAACCTGGAAGCTGCATTTTCAGAAGAAGCATTCAAAAGGACAGCCCTGATGTGCATTCTTGTTAATGTCTACTAGCCAGAACACATTCCATGGCCAAGAACAGAAATGAAATATTGGGAACATTAAGAACCTGAGGGGGAATTGGTTCATGGATTGCTACTGACAAGCTCTCTCCTGCAGTACAGTAGATCTGGCTGTCTACTGAACTTACTGTTCTGGAATCCAACTGCTTGGGTTGAAATAATGCATAACAATGAACAAGATCGTAATTTTCCTGAATCCATATATTCATATTTTAATTTGTAATATTTAAAAGAACTTCTCATAAAAGCTCATGGTACTAAGTCTATGGCCGAGTACTAAGGGGCTGTCTATAGATGAATAGTAAAAATTCAATATATTCAAATGTGATACAATTACTATCTTTTCTCATGAATAGCATCTCATGAGATGGCATGAAATGAAACAGCATTCATTTTACTTTGAATTAAAACATATCTTCTGTCAGTTACATAAGTTGGTGTGCCATGCTACATTACCACAGTGCTAACTCTCTGTGCTTTCGAAGAAAATGTAGATAGACGTCCTCACACTTGTTGACGTAGTGCCTCACTGATCTGTACCTCTCCTTGCAGATTCCGGTGTGTAGTCTACCCCTTTAAGCCAAAGCTCACTGTCAAGACAGCTTTTGTCACGATTGTGATCATCTGGGGCCTGGCCATCACGATTATAACTCCATCTGCAATAATGTTACATGTGCAAGAAGAAAAATACTACCGTGTGAGACTCAGCTCTCACAATAAAACCAGCACGGTCTACTGGTGTCGGGAGGACTGGCCAAGACAGGAAATGAGGAGGATCTACACCACAGTGCTATTTGCCACCATCTATCTGGCTCCACTCTTCCTCATTGTTATCATGTATGCAAGGATTGGGGCTTCCCTCTTCAAGACTTCAGCACACTGTACAGGCAAGCAGCGCCCGGAGCAGTGGCATGTATCCAAGAAGAAACAGAAGGTCATTAAGATGCTGCTGACCGTGGCCCTCCTTTTCATCCTTTCCTGGCTTCCCCTGTGGACTCTGATGATGCTCTCAGACTACGCGGACCTGTCTCCTAACAAGCTGCGTATCATCAACATCTATGTCTATCCTTTCGCCCACTGGCTCGCCTTCTGCAACAGCAGTGTCAACCCCATCATTTATGGTTTCTTTAACGAAAATTTTCGCAATGGTTTCCAAGATGCTTTCCAGATCTGCCAAAAGAAAGCCAAACCCCAGGAAGCCTGTGCCCTGAGAGCTAAACACAACATGGTCATAAACACCTCTGGCCTGTTGGTCCAGGAACCTGCATCTCAGAACCCACGTAGGGAAAATTTGGGATGTGGAAAAAGTGAAGACAATCCCACACAGGAAACCTTTATGGAGGAAATGGGGGAAGCTACTAACACTACTGAGGCTTAAAAAGATAGTGTGGACCCCAGTGCTATCCGATGTTATATGGTATATGAGTGTGGATATGTCTTTAAATATTGTTGCTTGTTGTGGCTTTGCATTTCTCATATTATGATGGAAATATTTACTGAGAGCCCTCTTTGTCAAAAATGAAAGTATGAAAGTGATCATTCTAACCAGCCTCATGGTACATGAAATACTCAGTGACTTTCATGTTTGCCTGAAATGTTTCAAATGTCTGACCATTCCCATTTTAACAATTTATTTTATATGAGTCAAGTAAATCAAGCATGTGTGTTTATTTTTGTAAGTCTGTCATTTTATCTGTCTGTCTCTCTATCCACCTTTCCTTCTGTCATCCATCATCTATCTATCTGGAACAATGGCTCTCAACTTGTGGGTCACAACCACTTTGGAGATCAAGTGACCCTTTCACAGGGGCCACCTAAGACTATCAGAAAACACATGTATTTATGTTATATTCACAACAGTAGCAAAATTACAGTTATAAAGTTGAAATGAAAATGATTCAATGATTGGGGTCACGACAACATGATGAACTGTATTAAAGAGTCACAGCATTAGGAAGGTTCAGAACCACTGGTTGAGAAGAACACACATCTCCCTAAATTGCGCTGGATATACTTTGCATGAGAGTACATTTTGTCAATTATAATTGATTTTGTATTTGAAATTAATGTGCTTTGCTTTTGAAATGGGTCCAGCCTTTGAAGAAAACTATTGCATTACCTGAAGTCTTTGTTATTGATTTCTCATTCCTGTCAATCAATCTGGGTTACTCTTAATGCAAGATGCTGCAAGCCCATCAGTAATAATGGCCCTGGCTACTTCACTTTATGTGCTAGAACTGCAATACCAAGGAAGGAAAATTATATGTCTTATAATTTAAAAGGTTTTTTTTCTTTAAAATCTATGAAGTTAAAAAATCATAATACTCAGTAGAAGTTACTGCTGGGGCTTGAGCAATGACTCAGTGGCCAAGCCCATTTGTAGCTTTTGTAGGCTGACTACCATTCCCTAACTGGTGGTGGTTCACAACCATCCATTACCTAAATCCCAGTGTATCTAAACCCTTTGCTGACTTCTCTAGATACCAGGCACAGATTTGGGGCATATATACCCAGGCAGTCAAACATCTTATACACATAAAAATTAAATACATCTAAGAAAGTTCTTAAAAGAAATGACTGTTGACTTCTTAATATTTTCATAGGTTTGAGATCTGTGTTTTAAGAGAATGTCCAAGCAAAAGACAAAATCCTTACATAGTAGAGCAGGTGGCAGGGAGCCACTTCTTTTAAGTTTCTCTTTTAAAAAGGGACATCAGAGCTGCTCAGCTGTTATCCTAATAGTTCCCTGGCATAGAGGCAGAACAAGCACCCTTTTCCAAACTTCCTACTGGAACCAATAATTGAAAATGCCACAAATAGATTTGATAACCCTGTTACCATCACACAGAGTAATTATTTCAAGAGGCAAGCTCATCTGGGGTAAGATAGGTCCCCAGAAAGTGGGCATTACAATAAAATAGTTTGCTTGTCAAATGAAAATAAATTCTGGATATTGAAATAGTATGTCCTTACAGTGATTGTTACAGTTCAAGTTGAAAGGTTTTCAACAGGCCAGCAGGAGTTAATTATTGAAGTTTGATCTGAACTGAGTGATGGCATGTTCCTTTCTGCCATCAGGGTGGCCAATCCTTTGAACATTTAGGTTAGGAATTTCTCCTTTTCTTCTTGAATTATTGAAGTTCTGCTTACGGTTGGTGAAATTAAACATTACAAATTATTCACCAGGGACTATGCCTTGCTGCTTGTGACTTGGATGGACATTTGACTGGCTTGTACTCAGAACACTTCCATAGCCCTCAGCTCCCATCTTCCTGTATGTCCACAGCTATGTTTCCTCATTGGCTCTTCTTTAATGGTTGTGGTACTCACTGCTAAATTATGCCTGTTGTGGTCTTGGCACTTGCAGCTCTTTCTACAATTGGCAGAATCATCTTCCTTAAGTAGAATCTAGGCTCAGCCTAGAATGTTTTGTGCTTTTTTTTTTTTTCTGTTTTTTTCCGGTTTTCACTTCCTGTGTGACCATTCTTTAACATCTGTTCAAGAGTCAAGAGGGCCCCCTCAGGAAGTCTGTCTGCATTCTTAGTGCAGGCAATTCCATCTGCATTCCAGCGCATTGGTGATGTCCAGCTCAGAGTAAATGGGAGCAACAAAGGGAAGGATGGAGAACACTAAAATGTCCAGACATCTATACTGTTTCGATTACGGAATCATAGCAGGGTATGATTACATTTGCCAGGGTAAGACTTCAGGAAAATACATTTTCTATAGCTATTTTTTTTTTGCATTTGCAAGACTTTGATCACAGTGACTCTGTGCATTTGCTATGACTAACAAGTCTGTGGCTAACAAGTGATGGGAGACAAGCTTGTAAAATAAAAAGCAGAGTGGTTATCACTTGCTATGGGGAAACCACTGCTATTTTGATTATATTATACTTATAAAAATATGACATAATAGTACAATAATGTTAATGTCATGTAAAGCAGTTTTCAAAATATACTTTAAGCCTCACAAAGTACTCTGAGGTATATGGTGTCTCCATTTTTCAGAGGGCAGCAGTGACTTCTGGTTATCTCAAGCTCTTTTTCTAAAACTACGTATATGCTTGAACATATATATGAGGGGCGCAAGACATGCATATAGTGTCTGCGTGGAGAGAAGAAGAAGTTGACGGATGCCTGAAGTTGCAGTTAATACATGGTTACGATCCACCTGAGGTAGATAATGGGAACCAAACTCAGGTTCACTGGGAAACAGAATGTGCTCTTAACTACTGAACTGTCTCTATGGTCCATGTTCCTAAAATCTCTAAAACAATTGAGACGTCAATATATATAACTCAAAAGGATTTTTAACATTTTACCCCAATGTTAACTCATCTCTGTGTTATAGTGGAGTTTGTTTTGAACTCATCAATCACTATTCTTTCAGTAGCTATTCTTTTGATGGTACAATGAACAGCTTTTATTTGTGGAATTTTGTAGAGTCTACAGGTGGTGAAAAGAAAGAACAGAATAAGTTATGTATGTCTTTCCTTTCATAAAGAAAAACAACTGGTTTAAAAACTTATTCTAACCAGCTCTGGGCTCAGCATGTCTATCAGCAGCAGACACCTCACACTCTTGAGGAATGACGAGATGGACAATCACAATAAAGGAGGTGAAGAGGCAGACATTCTTGAACATGCTTTCGGCTTTTACTGTGGTTTTGTCAGGGAGTTATCTGTGCACAGCCCGCACTGTGGCATGGCTGTCTCAGAGCAGCCTCAGCACGCACTCACTTGTCTTCCTCATCTTTGCTACCCTAAGAAGTGAGCACACCTCTGAGTTCACTGCTCTGCTTACTAGCCAATGCAGTTGAACATGGCTCTTTGTTTCTAACTAATTTATGTTTCTTCTTCTGACTCTTTGACCCACTTCGCGAGTTAGTTTTGTCTTTCCATCTATTTCTTTGTACCTTTTGTGTTTTAGTGATATCAGTCCTCAGTAGCAGGAAGAATTTTGTTTTGTTTTGTTTTGCGTTTTAAAGGCAGTATCACTTCATGGCAGCAGAAACATCACAGTTTATTTTTTTATTATTGTTGATGGTCTTAACTTGGAAAAAATATCCAAGTGTTTACCAACACTTGTATGTCTTTACTTTTTCTGTCCTTACCAACTCCTTGACCTCTTCTGGAGACCACCATGCATCGCACTGGCTGCCTGGCTAGCTCCTCTCTCCCCTCCCAAGTCCTCTTCTGATCCTGACTTCCTCACCTGTCTTCTGCTGGATGCGGTCGGCCCATTTCCCTTCACACACTGGCTCCTTCCCTTCCTGCAGGACTCAGTTCAAATCTCATCTGCTCACTTCCTCCATTGTAAATCTCATTATCTCTAATTAACTTGAAATCTCACTTACATACTTGTGTGATATCTGTATACTCTATCAAACAGTAAATATAAGGTTAAGAGTTTATCTCATAACTTACTTTATTTCTGGTCCTTAAGAGAGTATTTGGTACACAATAGATGAATGATAAATATTTGTTGAGAAATAAATTGAACGGTTACAAATACCTTATTTTTTTGTTTATTAATTATGTACAAGCCATATTTTATTTTCCATTGTTGAAAGAAACCCAGAATGCAATAGAAGAATTAGGTAATTCTGAAATGCAAATTAAGTAAAATGAAAGTCATTCCTTATGCTACTTTCATGCAGCAATCATTGTCCTGTCACTCTGGGGCATGTGCATGCTTTCATTAATAAGGATATGATTCTGTGACATATGTTTTATACTGTTTTATTAGTTAGATGTATCATAGATATGTTTCTATGTTGTTTAAGGGTTTCCCAAATATTTTCATTAATTTCAGTGCCATTCCATTATTTACTAAGCATCTCTGTAGTTGGAAATGTCACCAAAGTCTTCATTTGTAAAGTGTGTAATTATGTAAAAATCTCATAACAATGAGAATATTGCAGCCTCTCAGAATAGACTGAGAAGAAATGAAATTGCTTGGCTAACATTTCTTAATGTTGTAATGTTCATTATAAAATACCATTTAATTCTTTAGAAACACTTTATATGCATCTATGGTATAAGACAATTTGTTCGCATATGCTCTCAAATATTGCATTTTCTAGAAAACTTTTCTTTCTAATCTGTTTGGTGAGAATGTATTTCCTCATGAATTATGGTTTGAGTGGTTAATGTTTTCCACAGGTTCATGTGTTTGAATACTTGGTCTTATAAAGCTGTGTATGATGTCTTGTTAAGTTTAGAGAGTTTTCAGGCTCTAGGCTATGTAGCAGAAGTAGGTCACTGGGAAGAAGCCATGAAGATGGTATCCACTTCTGCTTCTTGCTCCATGCTCTCTGCTGCCTGATGCAATAAGGTGTCAACAAACACTGCAGCAAGGTCCTGCTACTGTGGACTAAGCATTTCTAGGTGCCATGTCTTTCCTACCATGATGAACTATAACCTTTGGAGCTGTGAGCCAAAGTAAGCCTTGTTTATCTTAAGATGCTCTGTTAGGTACTTTAATCAGAATGATGAGAAAGGCACACGGTGTAGAAAATGGTACTGAGAAGTGGGGTAATTTCTATGATAAACCTGCCTGTGTGGCTTTAAGCCTTTGGAACGGGTATTTAAAAGACATATGTAACAGCTTGAAGCTTGCCATGTGTATCTTAGATCCTGGAACTCCAACTATGGATATGGAGG